GCAAAAATTTTCCGGGGATCGTCCAATTTTGGGGTTCTTTGACGGGATTTATATATATAAATCGTGGTACGGCATTTTTATATATAAATCCGGGATTTATATGGTGACGGGATTTATATACGACATATTCATTGATTTTCTTTATAATCAATAAATAAAAAACGACGTAATTGTTTATATTAATACTTTTACCTTTGTATGTCAATGTTATATGTTTGTTGGTTGGAAAAAACCTCTAAAAAAAGTGCGTGGTTTATCTAAATGTAATATGAAACGATAGATGCTACATAATCATTATTTGAGAATGACAATCAATACTGTAAGCTTAGCAATTCAACCAATCAATTATTTATGCTATTTGCATTCTACTCTATTTATCATCTAGCATGAGTTCATCGTGTTTAAAATAGGCAGTCACTAGGATTGGTAATACAATATCAAAGTGGAGAGGGTTGGACCTATTTGCTATTATGATTTCACGCAATACTTTGCATCTCCCAAGTATAATGTCCTTTGCTAGAAATCATTAACTACATTGCATCATTGAAATGTAACTCAGTATGATTTATTCATTAACTAGCAATATGAGCAATGGTAATTAAAATATATAATAAAGATATCGAAATCTATCGATTATTATATTAATATGGGCAAAACCCGCTAAATATTGACCGAGATTATTTTTTTGAAGCCGAGTATCCGAGTGTCATTAATACTTTTCGGCGAGCTTCTTCAATTTTCTCTGCAGAATATGGTAGTTTCTGCCAAATATGTTTTTGAATCGGTATTGAAGTCTCTATGGTCGTATCGGAACAAGTACTGTCATTGTTGTAAATAATTTGATTAAACGAATTAATCTTCAATCGAACGAAAGTCTTCAGAGGAAAGACGCGTACGAAAACTATCCCTATGTTGTCACTAATTCGTAATACGAGACATGATAAAATCAAATTTTACGAAATTATCGATTCTGCATTTGGTCACAACTTTTTTTGCGAAAACAGCGATTATAATGTGAAAACTTCTGCGAGCCAGTGATTACTAAATCTTTCTGAAGAGTAGAAGATGCCTACTTAATACAATTTTACCTCTTTACTTAGCGCAAGGCAAGGCAAGAAAAGAAATGTTGGAGTTGTTACACCAGCAATTATAACCGATTATGAGGCGATTATAACTGATTCTATTGGCTGAAATTGTTTTCGTTTTCATTTTCGTTTTCAAAAAATTTTTTTTGAATGATGATTGTACTATTTTGAAAAGTACTATAAAAAAATTAGGCAAAAAGATATTTTATTCGAACAGATGACTCAAAAAATGCTGGGTATCAGCGAAAACGTGACTTTACTGCGGATATATCAAAAACGGACTTTCTTTAATACATCAATGCATTTAGAAAAGTTTATTATACATGTGATTTCGCCGAAAATAAAAATTTCCTTAATTTAAAGCGGTATATGGTGATCATAATATAAAGTTAGCATAATAATAACCAAATACTTACGGAATCCGATATCAATGCAGTGCCTACAAAAATAGGATAATCTTGTTTGCGGCCCAAACGGAAAGTTTTATAATTTAAACAAAGATGGCAACGTAAAATAGCAAAACAAATAATGTTACAAATTGGCTATGCAAAATGTAAATCAGCAAATAACTGCAAGGCAAGCATTAATAAATACAAATTTGCAACCTTTAGGGTTGATAAACATGCATAATAAATAACAGACTATTTGTAGAAAATAACAATCGAAAAATATTATAAGTAATTAAAACACTTTAAGATAACACCAATTGTTGACTAGAACGCAAAACGTAGTAATTAGTTCATCTTCTACTGAGCAGCTGAATTTATCCCGAGCGCTTATAATATTAAACTGTATTTTGCAAATAAACAATTTTGTCAAAAATAACATACAAATTAAAAACATAAAAAAAATTCAACATTATTGTTTATAAGGTTATTAACACATTAAACTATGCTTGATGACTTACCGATAAAATACTGTTGAGGCTCCTACGTTGTATGTCTCAAGTCAACTGTATACCGTTTATTAACATCTAGAAAAACTCTACATTAACAAGTAAAAAAGGTTTACTATTACGTTAGATTTGTTAATTTAATGCAATATGACTTCCCGCAGGTTCTAAAGAATAAGAAGTACTGGCGACAAATATTCTATGTATTCTTTAATATTATTATAATTAGCGCAAGAGCTGATGCTAATAACTTGTTTGAACAAGACAGGCTAATAGATAAAGACCATATCCAATAAAGGTTACCAAATTTAAACTAATACAATTATGTTATAACTACGGTTTGCTATCATTTGAAATTCATTGGTTTGGCCAAGATAATGTTTGCACACACAATTACCTAAAATTTATCTGTAAAACTATAGCTTACAGCTCAGATTCAAGCGTTGCGTGCGCCTACTTGATGGGGCTAGATTAGTACTCCAATAAACATGTTCATCATATAAAGTAAACTCAACTCTATAAATTACAACAGGCATGTTATAACTCAAGTAATCATATTGTTATTAGAACCACAGTATTATATAAATAATAGAGAAGGCTGGTATCGCCAATGAAAGATAAATTATAAAAGTTAAACGTAAACATACAGTTCTGTCATTTTTATTTGTGCCCGATAATAAAGATTAAGAACTAGAACCCCAATTTTCATTTTTGCGGAAAACTGCGTTTTACATATTAATATTGCCAAGTTGATATATATAATCACCAGTTTCACAAAAACCTAAGTTATCGATAAAAGAAATTATTATTATTGTACTCTATTGCTCTAGCCACGTTATTATTGCTAAGATTAAATTAACGTACACTAATTACATATGTATTTCAAACACTTTGATAGACAACTTGTGATTTTTAGGTGGATTTAATCTTGGGATTCAGTTTTCTTTTTCTTCTTTTTTGAGGAAAAAAAGGATAATTGCTTATAAAGCAGTAAATTTTAAGTCTAATTACGATAAAATGCACACTTGTGTTCGTGATAACCATATGTTATGTTGCAAAGAACCGATACATTCCAATGCAATGATCAGAAAGATAGAGCAAGACTTCTGGTCCATCCTAAGGGGGTTTTTTCCATCTTCAGGAATAGTTCTACACCGAAAAATCGGTTAACTAATTGACGAAGTGCATTATGGAATAAAAAATATGGGACATTCTATGAGACTACAATTTGAATAATTGTGCAAGTGATCATTGTTCCTTTCAGAGTATTAACAGTCAGTCTTTATGGCTTGCTTCTACAGCATTATGATCAGAAGACTTTCGGAGACGATTCGTCTCAATTAATTTAATGCCTAACATCGATTGAGAGAATGGATTGTGGACGTAACAATATTTTAGACAGGTATAGGCAATTTTTCAATTTTCGTGAAGAAAGACATACTGTATTATCTCAGTAATTAACAGGTTTTGAACAAGCTGTCATTAATACTGCTCGTACGGAATCCAAGGAGTTGAATATCCGCTTCTATCCTTGTCCAACGATGTTTAAAGTATAATAAGGTATGAAACCGTTATTCGATCTTCAATGACGTAGTTATTGTTTATATTGGTTAGATTAAATATTCTTAATATATCGTTGATTATTACTTATTAGATGATGCTGTCGGCTAACTGACGTCAGTGAGTGATTTAACTCGGCCCGAAATGAATAAGCAGGGCCATTTATTGTTATTTACGGAAGCTGCTGCGCCCTGTGTGACATCCCCGTTAGTATTGTCTAATATAATGGACATGTGATTACCTAGAACTATTGTCCGCTAGCTAAGGAAACTTTTGAAACACTTGCCTTCCCCTGTAAATTTTATAAACTTCAAATCGAATCAGAACAGCTACCGAATTGTTTACACAAATGTTATCACATTGAAAGAATATGAGCGGATTGGTAACTCTATCCCACCAATTCAATGAACATGAGATTTACTTCCATCGCGTTGGAAAAGGTATTAGGATCCCCAAAAATGTAAGCGATGATTTTGATGTTGTGATAACAGTGGGCGAAGGCTCGGAAGAAGAAACTTTTTACTGCAACTCGAAGGCATTGATTAAGGAAAGTCCTTACTTTGATACTGCACTGTCGAAGCTCTGGGCCAAGAAGAAAAACGGCATGTACATACTAGAGCATCCAAACATCTCACCAGATGCCTTTGAAGGCATACTCCGGTAAAGTACTGGGATAATATTATTAAAAGTATATGCATAGAGTAAAGGTGAAGTGCAATTATCCGCTTTGCTTGTCTGACATTTCCTAGATGTCTACTTTCTTATATTATACTCCTTAGATATATTGGTCATGGTAAGACTATGATATCTGAACTCGACGAAATTATACTTTTGGATGTGATCGTAGCAGCCGACGAATTGCTATTCCATGATCTTGCTGGTTACATTGAAAGCTATCTAATTAATACGTATTTCCAAAGTGTGAAGGACGGTCTTACTATCTTCCTCAACAAAATCGTTCACCATCAACAACTCAACGGATTGTGGCGACGTCTACTACGAATTATAAATGATCACCACACACTACTGTGTAATTCTGCGGACCTCCCATGTTTAGAGAAATCAGCTTTAGCCAGTATCTTGGAAGATGATAGTCGAATAATAAGTCAAGGCAAACTATGGACTGTAATGCTCAAATGGGGAATGAGTCGTAATCCCGCAAGAAGTCTCGAATTCACCTCGTGGCCTGATCATGATATTAACGTATTGGCGGACTCGCTCCGCGAGTTAATACCATTAATCAAATTCTCAAATGTCAGTAGAAATGACTTTATTCAAAATGTCATTCCATATCAACAGGTTATTCCAAATACGATCGAAAATGAGACTCTGGCTGGTTACCTGAATAGACAAAAACTCATCGAAACTGAGTATTCACACATTGATATAGTTCTAGAGGATTCCGTGGTGATAAATCATTCACATGCTGCATTGATAGCACTCTGGATCGAATCTTCAAAGAACAAGAGCGGCGGAGCAACTACCGAACGTCTTCGTCGATTGTCGAAAACTTTAATGCGTCGGAGATTGAAGTATAAATTTACTATGTGCTATCGCAACAGCCTCCTTCAATTTACATGGGAAGACTACTATAGACAATGTAATCGAAAAGAATCAATGGTAGCGATCGCGAAAGTACGTGATTCGTTGAAGCTGGTCGGTGGATTCTCGCCAGTCGGACTGATCGCACCACCTCAGATCCCACTCAACGAGGAATGGGAGAGAACTTTCATCTTCAGCATTGATGGTAATGGACATTTCCTGCAAGAAAATGCCGTTGCGAGCAGAATGAGTACTTGTCGAACAGATGGGTACATCTTTCATTCTCTTTTCGGTCCCAGATTTGGCGAAAGCGATTTATTTATTAATTTAGGAACTCGTCGTTGTGTATGTCGACAGAACTATTACAGTAAACCGATAACTGATTCGCGCAGTTTTCCTTTTGATGAGTTTGAGGTCTTTATTGTTGAAAAGATAGATTGAACGTTCGCAGTTATCAATAGTCAATTTGCGTACATGTAGTATTTCCCTTAACCTTATTCTGTATTTAGGTAATTAATTTAATATCATGTTCATTGGTTCCCAATCTCCGACGGCTATTTGTTGTCAATGCATATCTAATCACGTGAAAGATTTTGGTCAATAAATATACAAACAGCACGCTGATCAAACTGAGAAACCGGAATGTTTTTATCGCATTCATCATTTCCAACCCTGTTGGACTTGGTTACATACAACATTCCGCAGAAAGAAAGTCAGTCAAGCCGTTGAGTCCAATCATCTGAGTCTTAATGAACTGCTTGGAATTAAGTGCTTGATATAGTCAGTCTTCGGCACTATGCCGTTTTTCATTCGCTCTATGACAACTAATTTGTAATGGTAGGAATGAATCATGTAAATGCTGTTAAGATTACATATTTATTAATTCATATCTCTAAAGGGTTATTAATCCAGCTGTCCGTAATTGAACAAATTGGGAACTACCGGGCTACAAAAAAAATAATGAAAAAGTGTCAATTTTACCAAGGGCTATATTAAAGCCTGTATTTCTATAGGATTTTGCCTACTACAGCCTTAGATACAAAAAAACTGTACGTTACTGATATGAAATCAACTTTTTTTTTAGAAGCAGATTGTGCTTATAGCGTCAATACTGTAATACTGTCGTCTGGGAGCCAGCACCCTCGATGCTGACAATTCAGAATTCGAAGACGGAGAATCTGTCCACGAATTAAACAAACCAAATAACTGGTAAATTTGAAGACATATCATTGGGATTAAGAGAGAAAGAACAAATCCTAGAGATTAGAAAGGTCATTGAATATATGGAATTTTATTACGCAATAGGAAGGATTTGTCAGACATATCGTCACAAAACCAGCAAAAACTGACACCGATCTTGTAGGTAATCGATCGAACAGTAAATGTTAAACCATACCTAGGCAGTATACATTTGACGTAATTCTAACCCATAACATCAGTGGACGTTTCAAAAGCGCATTTGACAAACAAATATCTTCGATGTCACGATTGTAGTTGTGAGTGATGAACTGTTTGGGAAAAGTACTTTGCGTATGGGTCTAGGCGACAATGGAGAAACTATTATTCATACACGTGCACACAATAAGGTTGTCTTTAGGAAAATCCCAGTCAATTGAACGCAAACGCTCCTAACGATAGATAGTAACAATATCGCTTTCAACTGTGTGAGTTTCAGTTTTTGCAAATTGGCTTCATTCGAGTAAAAGACCATTGTCAAATGACATATAATTAATAAACACCTTGACTTGCGTTCAGCATTGTGTGTCTAAGAGCGCAAAACCTCACATTATTGATAAATATCATTAAATTAAATTATAAACTCGCCTTAATTTCATCTCCATTTGTCAGTATTCTTAATTTGCTTTGGTAATCATCCCATCCCAGATACGCACCAACCATCTTCCTATAACCACTGAAGGCTGATCTTCCATGTAAAACGCGCCAGTTATCAAATATAACAACTTTCCTAGGTTTCAGTTGCACCCAATATTCGTTCCGCTTGTCCTGGAGAATGGCGTTCCACTTTCTCAATGCGTCATAAAATGGTTCAATCTCGTCCGGGTGAAGATGATCAATTACTGAACGGTCATTGTTATTATATCTGATCTGGTATAAGATTCCAGAACGAGGCTCATGATTAAAGATAGGAAAAGCTCGTGGAGTTGGCATGATACAAACATTAGTATCGCCAGCACTGTGAGTAGGAATTGAGGTGCGGGAGAGGAGAGAATACGCATCGGGGTGTTGTTGTTTGAGCAGGGATGCAGTCTGGAAGCCGTCAACAAATAGCGACATGCCACCTTCTCCAGTGAATTCTATCAAATGAAAGAGTTGTAGACTAGAATGGAATAAAGTCATTATTTGCAAATAGTTGATTGTAACCCGTAGGGTTTAAAGAACGTAATTAAGCACATACCCGCATGGATCAGTGAAATATGTCGTATCCGTATGAGCCTTGAGTGCTAAATTTGTGTATGCTGTGTCTCCGTGTAATAAATTAGATGTTGATTCCCAGAACTTTCCTATTAATTGATCAAGATGTAAGTAAACTGATCATTCACAAGAATTTGCAGCATCCTCCCATCATATGTTGTATGCAATACATCTAGTTCCTGTTTAAACTTTCCTCCATCTCAAATTTAAAGTGTTTTAAACAATGATATGCTTGCCATAGTGTGTTTCTCTAATGAAGCTTATTTTATTGGTAAGCTCTTCAGTGTCTTTGTTAGTTGGCGGTACGTCTTCTACAAAGCATAGGCCATGTGTATTCTACTTGATTACAAGGACTAATGAGTATTTTTCTGATGTAAAGAAATCCACTAGTTACTAAACTCCTTACAATCTTCGTTAACCATTCCTTGAGTCCATCAGTCGAATTCATTACGTGCTTATAATTTACGGTTGGAGGATTTCTGGATATGTCAGCATTCCATAAAACCTTCCTGCAAAGTTTAGATGTATTGTTAATACATGCTTATGTCGACAAGTACTACAAGAGGATAAATATAAGATCGTATACTTAGTATGAAACAAATTCTGTGATCTTAAAGGTGGATTATAGGAATTTTGTAGTAGCCAACTCCATTTGTAGAAGCTCTTGTGATTGTCATTTGCCCCTGTTTGGTAGGAATAATTAGTGACTGGAATATTCTGTTTATTGTTTATATCATTTAACAAAACCCACAGGTAATTTCCAGTCCATTATCTTTTATTTCCAGGGATCTGACTCCAATGTCTTCGGGTATCTATTATCAGTCCAATAAACTAATATTATTCTTTGTCGACAACGATAACATTGTGCGCTTGCTTTTACCTCAAAGGTATCAAGTAACCGTTGATTTGTCAATTGGTGAAAGCACTTGGGACACTTGCAATGATCCCTCAGCCATAAGTTATGACTAAAAAAAATAAAATAAAGTGGTAAGCAAGCAAGAAATTGGTAAGGTTACTTCAAAAACCGATATCTTCCTTCGTACAATGTACTTGCAGAGTTGTCGGCCCAGTTTACCAAGACTTTTCTGCTATCTGATGACGAAGTAGCCCTACTAGCCTAACGAAAAAAGTATAAATTAGCCATCGTTGCGGCTATGAGTAACAATAAATCCGATTCTACAACCTTTACGAATTCTCTCTTTTGTTCTAAGAACCATGATTTAGATTTACATAAATATTGTTGTGTTCTCCGAAAGCCAGCTAATTTGGAATTTCGCAATTATTTAATGAAATAAACAATTTCTTACTAAATCATAGCAAAGCATTCTTACCATCTGACGCAATCCTGTTTGTTTCTCTTCTCCAACAATTAGACAGTAAAAGATTATACCGTGCAATTGACAGCATCACGACGGCAAGTGCCTCCTTTTCTATGTGCACTTATTATCGTCCTACTACACCTATTTTCTATCGCGAGGGACTTTTATTACTACACCTATTTTCTCCAAAAATAGTCCGCAAGTCGTGATCAGGTGATCTGCGATGGGACACAAACCAACTTGTCAGAAGAAACTACAGATAATAATAATAATAACAGTAATTAACAACTTGCATTATTGGGAAGCTTTTCCTATATCAGTGATACCGGCCCAATAATAGACGCGTATATTAGAGATCGTAACGATGATTTATTATAATAGGAGCAGATATCTTATTCTCGACATTCCTATATTTCGATGTTCCCGATGTTTAATATTCCGATTAATTATAATCGGGAATCTAAATAGAATCTCGATAGCACACGAATCTTCAGCGAAGACAACGGACGGATTGGCACGTCACGATGGTAGTAGTGGAATAATGAGATTATTGTTACTAGAAAGAAAATTGGGTAATAATAACAATACTAGCTTATATTTAATTAAAAAGCCATTAATGGACTGAAAGGGTAGGGACACCCTTCAGTGATCTTATCTTTATGACAGAGTTTCATTACAATTATCTTACTTTATATAATCTATTGTCAAGTTGAACAAGAGACAAGAATAATAACGTACCTAGCATAATTGGCATCTATCATATGGACTATCTGTCTATCTTGTCTGATCATTGCGTCGTATTGATAAAATAGTTTAGAACTTTAAGTCTCCTTCAGTTGCATCACTGAGAGAAAGTAATTCAAGTTGTCCTTTCCCTTTAGTATCGGTTTGTAGAATATCTCTTATAACCCTGAACTGTCCTGGATCAATTGTGCATGTCTATGATGAAAGATACATATAATAAGAACCAATACAATATATTGTATGCATCATTGTCATATAGGTTCTTAATATAGTTAAAGTTAACACTCACCAGTTCATATTCAGCAGACCAGTCTTCATCCTCAATGTTGGCAATCAATGGTACTAACTTCTCTTTAACTTTTTTTGCTTCTCTGGTGTTGGGAATAACTATTCTTAGTCGCATTTGGGCTCGTGCAATTGGTATGATGTTCGCCTCTTGAAGACTTTTGAGCACATAAAGAGCCTAGAACATAGCATCAAAAATTCATAAATTGAGCTATATGTATAAATATTGTATGTTTGCTTGTTTGTATGTTTGCTTGCTTGTACGCTTGCTTGCGTGCCTGTTTCTGCCGGCCTGTTTGTTTAGGTAACTATTTGGCAGTCTGACCTATAAATACCAATTGCTAAATGCAGACTGTCTCTAACATACCTGAGACTTTGCACTCTTATTGGGTTTGACTGAATAGTGTATTTCCCCCATGGCTTTTTCGATCATGGAGACAGTATGAGGTCGTTTTGTCTCGGGGTTTACACACTTTTCAGCTACAATAGTGGCTATTTCACGATATGTATTGTCAATTTGATGACTGCGTTCTCTCTCTCCAACTTGGGTTTCACCCTTCCGAAGAATCTGGAAAGAATTTAGCAATAATCAGACGAGCTTTCTTGATCAGTAAAATATTAATGGAGAAAAAAAAAACTTGCCTCTTCTGTTATCTCATTAAGATTCTCTGTTTTGAATGCTTTCTTGAGATCATCTTTAGATGCTGCCTGGCCTTTAGATACGTTGAAGAAAACATTATTAATTTGCAGAACTTCGTCGATATTGGTTTCTCTGTATCAAATATGATGAACAATTTATAAGAATCGTCATGTTAAGCGAAATTTTCAATTTAATCGTCTGATTTCTACGATGATTAATTCACCAGAGCAGGGAATAGAATAGCAGCCGATGAGAAAATCTTACTCACACCCCATTACGCCATTCCATAACTTTATTCTTGTAACAGGCTATCTCGAATCTTCTTCCGCCTTTCTTCAAGCGGACTATCGCTACATTTGTTAGCCTATGAGGAAAATGAATATTGATTTAATCGATTGATCAAACTTGTAAATAACAAGCATATATAATTGACAGTGATTCTAACGCACTTTATTTGGTTGCTTGGTTGGTTTAGCGGCATGTTTCGTAAAGTAATGGCGCAGAACGTGTATATTTATATAAATTCAATCTATGACGTCATAAAATTTATCTAAACGAAGTCGGCCAATAGACCTTATCAAATTTTACTTGGTCCTCTGATAATCCCGAAAAACAGACATAGCACATTTTGTTAAAATGTGGCAGCCTTATCGACTTGTATATTTGCTGCTTTTCAACCAGATACTTCTTATATCAATTTATTCTGCAAAGACAAGTGATCAATTCAGAGAAAATCTAATAATAAAGCCGTTACCGGACGGCAAAGTACTAACACATTTTGAATTCAGCATTCATTCATCTAATGTTGACGAATCTGGTAATTCTTGTGAGTACCGCTGATGTAAGACGCTATATATACTGCACGATATTAATTCATGCGTTTGGCAGATTATGACCTTTTCCCACGATCAATCGGGCAAATATTCCAGACATACAAAGCAAGAGAATTACACCTAACTTTTACTCAAGGAAGATGGAATTATGAAGGATGGGGTTATCCTATTGCACCGTCTGCTGGTACGGGAGTTGAATTGTGGGCTTGGCTATGGAAGAATGAGAAGTATGTACAGCAGGATGTCAATGTTGGAATGTTACTGGATCAGTGAGATATTTATTGATCAAATTGGTGTATTTCAATAGTTTAGATAAGAATTGGAGGTCATTAACGAACGCTCTGGCGGGAGTGTTTTGCGCATCACTCAATTTCATCGATGAAAGATCAACTGTTCAGCCGCGATTATCTTTTAGACCTGAAGGGGTATATATTGGTATGTGGTCATGGTTAGGAACTGAGTAATTTCGGCATTGAGTAAAGACCGCAAGATTGAATACTCGCGCCTTGCTAGATTCTGAATTGTTTAATAGTGCTGAATTAAGATACGGGTCCTTACCTCATGAGAATGTTTGTACTGAGAATTTGACTCCTTGGCTGAAGCTTCTTCCTTGTAAATCAAAGGTGATTTAAGAAATTAGTAGTTTGTATTTAACCAATGACCGTTCTATTGATTATTGGTTTTATTTCTAATTGAACATAGGCGGGAATCTCATCTCTTCTGAATAGCCATAAACTTTACAATTCCAATTTCCATTCAATGAGTGTTCACGTCCAGCCTGTTTGTCAAGTGAGCAAGTACTAGTGATAAATACCGAAAGAGGGCGTATTCAATAGCTTGTTGGCATTTATCCGTGTACATTTTTTATCAACAGCAAAAAGAATGCCATAATAGTCAGTTGGAAATATTGCAAACAGTATCGACAGTATTTGATCCGGTGAGAGAGTCTGGGAAGAGAGGTGAATGTCTGTCTCTTCTGGTCTTTTATTTATATCGTCGAGTATATATAATTAACATAATCCCTACATAGATTGGTCACTATATCAATTGTTTGATCGTGACATTACCAGAGCATGTCCATTGGCCATTGAAAGCAATATTGTCCTAATGCTTCCTGAAGTAGAAGATTATTCAATCGATCCTGAACCATTTAGTATTCAAACAGTCGACAGTACAAAGAGGAGATTCGGAGTTTATGACTTGACGAAATGTGGGTACTTAGTTGATTGGTTTTTATATTATAACGCAATGAATATTAATTTGATAATTCTGCCAGCGAAAACTAACTTTAAATTAATGATGAAGTGGAAAGAAGCTTTTTTTGAGTATGGTAAGTTTGAAACTGTGTCTTGTAATATTGATATTGATATTGACTAACTCTGTATTCCACACTATAAGATATCAACCCTATTCAACCGGATGTTTACGCCCACCGATATTTCACTGGTAAGTGGTAATTGCAAATACTGTTGAAACCCGGAAACATTAATGATCATATACATATGAATGCTTAGGATTTGGACAAGAACACGGAGGAATTAAAGTCAACTTATTTAACAGAAATCCTACGAATTCGATAAATATTCAGTATTGTGACGTAATTCCGTGGTATCTGAGACTGTATATGCACACTCTCAAAGTTACAGTGAACGGCAATGAGATATCGTCAGGACCTTGTAAGTAGCGTCCTGCAAGGGCGCGTCGTATTTTTTCTAGAATTTTTGAATGGTAAACACGTAAACGTGACCATATCTTTGCTGTTATTGACTTGCAATAACTCTGTTTACTAGCCTATCCAATCAAGCAACTATTCTACCAACTAGCAGTAGACCGATCGAGGCCGTCAGTAATGGAGGCGAACATTTCACTGCCAGCAGACACTATTACAACTCTGTCGATAGAGTTTGATAAAGCGTTCATCAAATACACCGAACATCCACCAGATGCCAATCGAGGTTTTGACGTTGGGTCAGCGGTAATCACGACATTAAGTAAGGCTGAATCCAAATGGGATTCCATTCTCTATCAGCAGACACAGGACGGGTACGTGACGTGGAAGAGCTTTATTGCTGATATTTAATCTCATTCATAGTATCAAAGCTCATTTATTCCTTGATTTTGATTACTAGCATTCATTACTTTCCAATCAGGATATACACAGAGACTCTTCTTATAAGCCTTCCCACGCCTGACTTTAGCATGCCATATAACGTAATAACATTGACTTGTACAGTTATCGCTTTGTTCTTTGGGAGCATGTTTAATCTTCTTACGAGGAGATTTGTTGCATTAGATAGTGAAAATCGCGATAAAAAATAGATCACATTTATACCAGCGATTTACACGAGGACATTTCAACCATTTTCGAGACTGGTTATTTATCGAATAGAAAACATAGAAATAAAAACACAACGTATTTGCATTTATGGTCCGCAATTTTATTTTCAAAACACATTGTCTATCAGGAAGTGATATGAACATATTAATACGTAACTCGCATTATTCAATAGTTTATTTTGTTATAATCAAATATATGATACATTAAAGTAGATATGGACACGAATCATTTGGATAAATTATCAGTCACGAAGCAGCAATCATATTAGTATGATAGACCAAATTATTTCTTTTTCTCATCACTTCCAGGTATAACTCCGTCTGCGGGAGGTTCATACGCAGGAGGAGCATCATCAGGAGGTCCAAGATAGAAACCACCCACAAATGACGGCGGATGTTGTTGTTGCTGTTGTTGTTGTTGTTGCTGTTGCTGCTGTGGCGACGGGGGAGGAGGAGGGTGACCTTGATTGAAGCTAGGTTGTCCCTGAAAACCATATTGAGGACGACCGGGTTGACCATAATATCCCTGTGGCTGATAAAATGGTTGTTGGGGTTGGAAACCTTGCTGACCGTAAAATGGTTGCCCCTGCGGGTCATACATGTTTTGCTGGAAATGTCCACCAGGAGGAAGGTGCGGATTTGCTGGTGAAAGTGGAGGCGGCAATGACTCGGAAACTGGTGGAGAAGATATCGATGCTGGAGGACTAGTTACAGATGCAGCAGTGGCAGAGCGTGCAGGCGCTGCTCCTGGCACTGCCGTTGAATTAGCTGCTTCTGATGCTGGACTTGCAGGTGCGGGAGCGGGTGCAGCAATCTTTAATCCAGCAAGTTGTGACTTGATACCGGAAATGTCATCTTCCAGTTTGTTAATTTTCTCTTCCTTTTGACTTAGCGTTGATGATTTTGATTGCAGTGTCTCCTCTAGATCTTTGACAACTTGAGACAGTTTGCCTTTTTCTGTTGCAACAACATTCATATCATTCTGGAGTTTAGTAATAACGTTGTCTCGTTCTCGTAATTGTACCTCATACTCGTGTTTTTGTGTCAACAATGTCTGGTATTCGCGTAGCTGGACTTCATTCTTTTGTTTTTCAGTGGCCAAAACACCCCGGATTTCCACCAAGTCTTGCTCGCTCTTTTTCTGATGTTCAAGTAACTTGGTGGTCAAATCGCTAACCTGCTTTTCATATGCTTCTCTTTGAGAACTCAACGCAGTAGCCATGTCATCCAATTGAGCTTTATATCCCTGTTGTTGATTTTCTAGCTCTAATGTAAGTTCTTCAATTTTTGCAGAGGAAGATTGTGTAAGTTCGTCAATCTTTGCAGAGGAAGATTGTGCGAGTTCATCGTATTTGGTCGTCTGTTCAAGGATTTGCTTTTCGTAAGCTTCGCGTTGAGAAGCCATCTCTGCATTAAGTTTAGTCAATTTCGCTTCATATTCCTCCTTTTGAGCGGCTAATAGTGTTGGTGCCGTATTCGTCAACGTTGGCAAAAGAGGTCCAATATCCGTGCTAGGTGGCTGCCAACTATGTAGTTGGATTTGACAGTCTTTAACTATCTGTGAAGTAACCTTATCGCCTACAAATATATTGACGGCGGGAAGGAGTCAAAGAATTAAGATCAGCATGGTGAGTGTTTAAGTAATACAGGAAAGAGACAGTCCAGTAATAACACTGTAGAGATATCCAACATCAAATAAACCATGTCTATTAAATTATCATTTTGAACTCACCAGCATACTTTGGTCTTGTTGAACCAGCAGGAACAGGATTATCGTCAAGTTGACCAATGATATAACCCCCAAAGCCAGCAATTATGGCCATACGCTCAGATGTTTCAAATGTGGCATCAAGCAACAGAGTAAACGCCTCTTTCAGCTTGCGTCTTTCAAGATTGCCAACTTCCAATTCCGTAGGTGCGCTTTCACGATTTACTTGCTCCAATTCGAGTTCCAATTCCCGAATACGTGGCGATCTTGGATGTGTTTTCATAGTCTTTGACATTTCATCATTGATTTTGCGTCGCTTCTCCTTCGTACCAAGAAGGCGTTGCTCAGCTTCGCGAATTTCTTTGAGTAAGTTTCTGTATTTTTCATATTTTTCTGTCGATTTAATCAATTGTTCCCAAATTTTTGGTCAGTTGATATTGATTGCTATGACCGAGTCTACAATGACAATATAAAAGCGAGTATCAAATGACAGCATGTTCGCTCATACAATAACTCACCAGCCATCACCGTTTCAACATCTGACATCTTTGACATTAGACTTGACATTTTCTCTGTGATATCCTACAGTTCACGAGAAATAATCGTAAGGTAATACGTCCATAGAGCTAACAGAAACGCAAAACACGTACGGCAACATCTTCCAAGTTTTCTTTTCCCCAATTGTACAAAAACGTGCTTGCTGTATGTATGAATAGAAAATGATCTCATCAATATTATATAGATAACTATGCGGGTAATTATTAGGTTGCTGACGATAATAGCTACTCGTATATATTGGTATCTATACAACTTTTCAATACTTGCCTTGTTTCCTCTCTTGCGCAATGTTCTGTAAGCTGGAAAGAATGTTTCTTTCTTCCTTGAGCAATAAAGCCACATTCTTGAGATCCTCAGGCAAGCGAGGGTCAACCTTGACCAGGTTACGGCGCACATCGTGACCTAAACTGTCAAGATTAAATGTTTTCCCGAACCCTAAACGCGTTGAGGTTCTTCCGTCGTTTGAAGTCATGTCTAGTTGATCGAATGCTGGCGGGCAAATGTCGCAGTCGAATATTAAAAATATACGTTATCAATCTTTTGTATCACGGCTGCGACACAATGAGAATTTGTTATTGTGGCGTACGCAGTAATACAGCCACGGGAATCATCAAATGGGGATTCTGCCACTCTGCAAATGATAATAATAACCATTTATGGTATCGTAATCTAATATAAACATGGAAATATTTATAGCTTAATTTAGTGTCATTTGAACCGGAGAAGGGTCGTTAATTATTGTCATGCTACCTGTAAAGTTTTGGCTCAGTAAATTACTTGTTCAACTCACTCAAAAAATAGCATTAATTGTAACTATAACTTTGCTCTGGCACATTCAGTAAGACCGAGTTCTACGCATTTCTCTTCATACTCATATTTATATCAATCTTTGCTTATCAGTATTATTACCATATTATTTCATCAGTTCTCAGTCGTTAATAAAGAGCTAACATTAATGGTAGCCCGCACTATTGGATTGTATATCAATAGTGATATCCTTTCTTCCATTTATAACACGCCCAGATAGTGCGAGTTGGGTCCATTAAAAAACAGGGTATGGTGCAATCAGCAACAAATCGTCTTCTTCTTACTCGAACTCGTAGTGGGAGGATTTGAATTCTCTAGGTTGGAAATAGACATTGTTAAATATTGTTGGCTAGTGTCAGATTTTACCCATAGTGATTCACTGTAAATAGCAAGCGGCTAACCTGTAAGCGCGCTAACTGACCGACGATACTTAATTGCCTGGATCAAGCATAAGCTAACTCAAAGCTACCGTATATTTGCTCTTCCGTATATAGCAGCACGGCAATATAATTTGCGTTTCGCAGCAAGTTAGGAATACTTTGTAATAGTAAAGACAATAAACCTATTATTATACTTGCAATGTTCAAATTATCTTGCTTAGCAGGACCAAAACTAGTAGTCTATGACTTTGTTTATGCTTAGACAAAAAACCCAAGGCCAAAAGCAAAGGTTTAATTATCTGCGTGAAGCAAGACAAATATGGAGCATTTAATACTGTAGCAGCGTTTATGTTCATTTTGCTGACCTTCTTGCGGGTTAATCAGATTATTTATACTGATACATCTAAATACTGTATTAAGCAAGTGGACAATGAGGGAACAAATGCCTTGTATAAATCCTGTTTATGCGTATTTAATGTTGATTGAATTATTGCTGTCTTGACAAAAACGGCGATGTACCGAATATTGATGTCATAACGGAAAGCCTGATAGGTTATGGAACTGCAAAAGCGGAGCGAATACTAAAATTATATCACAAAGGTTGGGCTGCATTGAGCCATTGTAGCGTTAATTTTGATCAAACGAATATTGTCATTCTGCTCGAACGGTTTGCTATTCTCAACATACCAACTATGACAGACCACCCTAATTGCTGAAAATCTCAAGCAACATTGCATTTATTTGTTGCATTACAAAGCAATTTGATTACAATACAGAATACATCTGCCTTTCGGCTACATTTACTTATATTTAACATAAAAATTATTTTACAAAAAATGTCCCATTTCCTCCATTCCATTGTTATTCCGAAATACATTCCGAACAGCCGCAGCATAAAGGTTCAAATGTCGGAAAACAAAAGTGTCCATCAAAAAATAATCATAGAATCATCCCTGGAATTCCCATGCGAGCGCTTTCAGAGTAAATCGCCGATATTTTGCATGTATATCGTTTTTCGTCAGATAGTCGATACTGACTGGCCGAGCTTGAATAGAAGTCACAAACATTATGGTGTAGATTACGATGGCAATAACGGCGGCTCTGGCATACATCTTGTTTAGGCGAGATTTTTGGTTTTTACTGAAAGCTGGTGGATTTGTTTATAATCCAGTTGACATGAGCTGATGGAGAGCGTGAACAGCCGTTGAAAGAATTAATGAATATTGGAACTCCGGAGATTCATGGGAATTCGACGCCCACATCCAAGTCTATTTATATCATTGGGAAACAAAGTTCAGATTGGTATAACAAAGCTAAAAATAAACATTTAGTTCGATGTATGTACTACTCGATAACACTTATCACCGAATATCAAGTTACGTTGTTAGTAAACAAATTGTGTATATGACAGCTACCCATTTGGAATTCCCGTTCACATGCGAGCACTCATTTGTAAAACATGTTATCCGTGTAATTTTAGCTTAGTAATTGTAACGTTGATTGGAGAGTTGGACTGCAACTACTTTTTTTTGCAAAAGATAAAGATAAACTATTCTCTATTGGGGTGGGGTGATTTCGAACAATGGGATATGCGGGAGATGGAAAGCAAAAGTGCAGAGGGCGAGACTCGTATCAAACAAATAAACAAATGCGGAAGATAGAAAGATGGCGAGATTTGTATCAAACAAATAAACAAATGCGGGGGAGATGGAAAGCGTCAACAAAAGTGCAGATGGCGAGCTGTCGTTTCAAATAAGCTATTAAACAACGACAGACACATCACAATCACAATAACAATAGCAATCACAATAACCTATTGGGGACAAACCCACTGTATGCAAGTTTTTAAAAATATCCTAGTGTAGCATTCTGATTGTGAATGTCAAAGATAAATAGAACGTGCGCAGATGACGTACATATATAGATAGATTATTGTACAAAGTGTACAAATGGGCAATCAAAATAATCAACAATCGAACATCAAATGTAGAACCACAAGGCAACAAAGAATTCTAGCAACTGATACTAATACACAACAACACAACGTTGTCAAACTTCCCGCTTTGTGTTCAGGCAACCTGTTTGTTTTATCGTACCCGATCGATATCTCCTTTACATGATTATACGTCTTATTTATAATCATTGTAATCCATTCAGACGGATAAGTTGTAATGTGTTCTAGGCTAAAGATATTTCCGATAAATGATTTAAATGTACAAGTCGCTATATCAGGTGATATCCGCAGGAACGTTTATCAAACTTTTGTGGAACCCGTGCAGAGATAAGAAAAATTTGATGGTGGGACATTGGCTATCCCTACGTAATGAGAATAACTTTGAAAGATAAGGAAAGAGATAGCTATAACAGTTCAGTATTTACAGTTCAGTGTGTGAATATGTAGACAAAGGGAGGGAGTATGTATACTAATAAGTACATTACTTTGTCTTGTACTACCTGCATGTTGACGTTTGGGTAACTATATTACAGCCGATGATGCTCTAAGTAGGGATACTGTATGCTTGCATGTAGTGTAGCTGTATGAGGTATGTTCTATTATTATATCACAATATATCCATAAACACATTAACCGTTGTATCTGGACAGTTTGTGAATGGAGATTTCTTTCCCTGCCCCTTATTCGAATGAACGGCGCGCTAGATACAATGCATTGATACAATGCATAGACACAACTTTTAGGAGTTTGACACCTGCATGTGATTTTATCGTTGCAATCAGATACGCCAAGCTACACACGATTTTGCATCTTTTTCACTTCCGAGACCCTTTCCATTTTCTGTTAAACTTAATATCATTTCTGTTATCATATAAAGCTACACGATATGCTTGCTGTACATGCAGGATGACTTGTTTCTTTATCCCAATAAAGTTTGGCGTAGAAATCTCTGTTCAGTGGTATCAGTTTCTATCGTACTTATTGTTAATAGATGAAATCGTAGCATGACAAATATTGTAGGGGTTTGTATAATAAAGAGGCCAAATAATGCTAAGTTTTCCAGGCAACAAAAATCCCGTTGCATCCGCAGAGACTATTTGTTGTCATTCGTGTAATTATATTTACGCCATTTTCAGGGTTTGATTGTCAACAAGTGTGTTTTGTGAGTTACTAGAATATATTAATATGATATGTTACACACATATTTTTTATATTCATGTGATAATTAAATACTGTCACTTTATCGAGCTGCAGCCATATAACAATAATATGATAATAAGAATCAAACTGTTGTCATTTGCATAGGCAGAAGAAATTTTGAAATTTCGTGCCGACTTACAGATTATCGAAAATTTTATTTATTTAACTGATACACATCAGTTGGCGATAATTTTGATATACCTAAAAGTGAGTGCGTTATTTAAAATGCAACTAGTTTATTTAAAAATAACACAGCGCCCAAATTCATAGGACAATTTAATATTGACATTCGATACAATTAACAATACAAAAAAACTACTGTTACGGCTCCGTATTAACGTATATTGCACATCAACTTTAACGTACTAACCATGGGACACGTTGTTAAGGTAGAAATTTGATTGCTTAAATGCTGATAAGTGCTTCGATAAGAATAACCATTATGTTTAATTGGAATGTTTAAATAAACTCGTATAAGTTATAAATAAACCGCAAATACAAGTTTATTCCAAATTGTGTTTATAAGACAAATAGGCAAAGCTAATAATGTCAATTGACTCCATTTACAGCAATCTCGTCTACTCTATTCCCGAACTTGATCTGGTAAAGGGGGAAACTGTTGGGAACAACAAAAATTGTAGCTGTTTCTCAGATTAGGCAAATCACCAATAAGCAAAAGCGTGCGTGCGTGCTAGAATATTTACTCTCCTTCTCAAGCGTGATAAGGGTCTACATAACTATGTCCAAATGTGGTCGTCGGAATTGTGCTACTTTAGCTTTTCATTAAAGTGGTCAATGTATGAATGCACTTGGACTTTTTTCAGGATCAGCATCACAACACCGCACCGTTGAGCAAGTGTTCGGTGTTGGATCAGGCATCTCGGTGGTCGCAGTCCACCCAAAATATCGTATGCTAAACCCCTATCGAATTGCCTATCTCGAAAAGGTGGTTTACCAGTGACAACCAAATACATGATACTGCTAAAAGACTATATATTTGATTTCTGAGTAAATTTGCGAGTATGAAAGACTTCCGGTGGTGCAATAAAGGGTAAAACACCTTGAATCGTTGATATTGATTTCGACTCACGTGAATTCTACCAAGATCGCACACGGCTTAATTAAAAATCC